TGGCTGAGGTTGGTGGCTAAATAAAGCCCAGTTCCGCAGTGAAGCTTCTGGAAGTCATGTATAGATCTTTGGTGTCTAATGAGAAGTGGGCTGATGGTGTGGTTTAGCCCAGGCACTGCCTGGGTTGGTGGCTTTTTCTCTCCGCTACCAAGCGCCCATTTTTGTGAAAACTACGGGAGGCCGATGGCTCGAAGAGCTTGCCTTCTGTACCGCTGCTTGAAATCAGCCAAGGGGCTTGGAGCTCCTGGTGGGGCCAGGCAGAGCCAGTAACGGGATGAGAGGTTTCCTTGGGTGTCCAGGCTGTGCGTCTGTCTGTCTGTCCGTGTCTGTCTGCTGCTGTCACCAGGGAAGGGCTCGGACCCCTTTGCCGGGGCAGGACGTGCTGGCCAACGCAGACGGTGATTGGGGTTGTGGAAGGCGCCGCGTGAAGGAACTCATCCTTTTGCGACCTAAGCTACGAGTAAACACCCAGTTGGTTGGCTTCCACCTGTAAATCTTGTCTCTGCTGTAAGAAAGGCCTCATTTTTCAGATACTTTTGTGCTTTTAACTCCAAATGCTTGACCCAGTCAAATCTCACTGCATAAAAAAATCTCGCTGCTAATGCAGAATCGTGCTGCGTACGCAGGGTCCAGCCCCAAAACTAGGCTTTGCTGTACAAATAACTGCTTATATGTATCTACACGGGGGGGAAACTCACTTGCAATTGAAGCAGCCTAAAACAACTTATTTTTGACCCTGCAATTGGGTGTCCAGGGTGCTAAGAGAAACCAGTGGTGTCAATTAACTGCGTGTGGGAACCATGAGACCGTTCAGCGATCAGGAGACCGCAAGCCAGGGGAAAAGAAATGCAGAAGCGTGCTTTAGCGGGAGAGATGAACCGGGGTGACGTGGAGCAGCGCCAGCTCCTCGGGGGCCTGGGCTGGGGCAGGAGGAGCCGCATCCATGGGCCTGTGGCCAGGGAGGCAGGAACGGGCTCCGGGCAAGCCGAGGTGGTGCTGGCTTCTGTCTGCTGCCTCCGTAGCAAAGCTCCTGCGTGGCTGAATTTGACCCATGAATTAATGCTGTGAAGTTTTTTTCCCCCTCTCTTGTTTTTTTTTTCTGCCTTTCTTTTCCAACAGAAACCATCGGATAATACTGTTGGCACCAAAAAGAAGCACTAGGTTTTTGCTGGCTGGTCTCACATGTGGTGCTGTGCGTTGATTTAATGTCCCTGGCCTTACGCTGAGTTCTTCTAACACGTCTGTCATCACAGTATCTGGGTGACAGCAGAGGATCGTAGGGCGGTGATACGATTTGAGTTGTTTGCATTATTTACCCAGTTGTTTGCATTATTTACCTTCATCGTTAATTATACTAGAGCTTAGAGGCGGGCTGGGAAGGGGAGATGCGACGGTGCTGACAGCGGGCGCTCGCTGCCGGGCTGGGTGTGCACCAGGAGCTGAAGCTTTCGCCTTTGATGGAGTTGGGCATCATCCCATGCTGCTGCTGGCAGGGCTGAACCGAGGGTGCTGCCACCCCATCTGCGGGGAGACGGTGTCTTTAGAGGCTGAAGGCTACAGGGATAGCGTTTTCATCAATCCCGCAATTTAATCCTTCCCATCCTTTGAAGGCACCCAGGCAGGGCCACCTCCCTGCTTTGCTCAGGGATGAGCAGAGGTGATGAACCGTGTACCTGGGGGCTTGCAGGGGAACCAGCATTTTTCATCATTCCAACAAGAAAAAATGCAGGCAGTAAAGGATTATTGGGGTCCTGTCGCCCAGTAATCGCACCCCGATGGGGTTAGGTGGCTCTGTCCCACTGCCCTGGTGAATCAGGCAGGGCTGGGGAGGCAGGGAGGAGGGACTCTGTCCCATTTTCATCCTAAATAGAAATTTTTTTTTCACATCCACTGGGGTTTTTTTGATTATTTTTTCTGGAACCTCAGACACGTGTGAGCGCACGGCTGCCTGGCTGGCAGCTTTGTGCCCTGCCTGTCCCCCCTTGCCCAGGCTGCTTTGATTTTTGGGGGGTAGCGGTGGCTCAGGGATGCGCAGCCCTGCGGAGCGACCGCCCGCGCTGCAGAGGGGGCTTGCGCAGCCCCTTGTCTCTCTCGAGCTGACTGCAGCGGTACGTGTTGGTGAGCCAGGGCTTGGCGCCGCGCAAACCTTGCGTGCCCCGACGCACGGCCGCCGGCGCCTCCAGCCGCTCTCAGCAGCCTCGGGCTCCGCTCCAGGGGTGGTTTATGGCTCTGCCCTGGCACGAAGCCTCAGCCAGGCACTGAATCGCGGCATGACAGGGACACGGCAGCGCCCGCTCGCCCCCGCCTTGGCTGGGCAGCCGTGGGCGGCGCGGTGCGTTGCTGCTCTCCCCATAAGCCCGATGCGGTCGGCGGGTTTGGTCACATCACGTGCCGGAGGGTCAACGGTGCTTGTCCCGTGTGGGCTGACATCAGGCAGCCAAGGCCAGCGTTGAACCCCGCGTGGGGGTAGGCGCACGTGCCCCCGCGAAGCGGCACCCCAATCTCTGCCCCCTGGAGACCTGCTGTGCCGCATGGCTTTTCCCATCCAGGTGGCCCCGGTGCCGCTCAGGGGACAGAGGGGGCCGGGGACTTGCTGGAGGGCAGCGGCTGCTCCGACCTGGCCCCGGGGAGCAGCTGAGCCCCCCTAAACCTGCGACCCTTTTCCAGAGTGCCTCTTCCAGGGGGCTGACACGGTGGCACTGTCGGCTGCAGCCTGCTATGTGCGAGGCTGTCCCGTCCTAGGAGGAGGTCTCCAATGTCACCCCGATCGTGTGTCAGCCCAGCTCGCTCCTGGGCGGGGATGGAGCACCGACCTCACCGGCTCTTGGTGGGGAGGGACGTGGGGGCACTACGGGGGGCTCTGTAACTTCATTTTGCACTAGGAAGACTCATCACCATTTTATGGAGAGGGATTGGGGAGCACAGCAGGGTGAGGAGCTCACTCAGATGCCTGGACATCTCCAACGATGGTCCTTCGTTCCCAGCTCATGCCCAAACCCCGAACCCATGCTGCCCCCCTTATTTTTCCTAACGGAGCTTCAAGCTCTGCCAAGAAGCTGGGCAATGGCCCCTTGCTCTGGCAGACGGCTCTCCGTGCCTGCCCACAGCCCGCAGATGCTCGGCAGTACCTGAACCCTTACTTTTTTTAGTAGGGGAGGCCAACTGTTGCAGGGAGCCCGAAATCCCGTGTGCCGGGCAGGGGCTGGCGGGGGGTGGCTCACCCTGGGGCAGCAGCTGCTGCCCGCTCGGGCACTTCTTGTCTTTCCTGGCCCCCGGTGCTGTAAGTTAACACCCCACAGGCGGGTCCAAAGAGGATTTCAACGAAACCTGAAGCTTGGGAGGAGAGATTATGCTGCAGAAGTGGCCCGGGAGACCGTAAAATATGCACTCCTACAATCGCCAAAGAAGGAACTGGATTTGCTCCCTAGGGAGCAGGGTCATCCCTGGTCTCAGTAACGGCGTCTGAGGGGGGAGATGAATGCCTTGAAGATAGGTCACCCCCTCCTGTCTCAGCTCGGCCCTGCCGAGCCTCCCCGGCACCCTGGCAGTGCTTGCTCTCCCAAAATTCGGTGCCTTCTGGCAGGTCACTACTTAATGAAAACCAGGTTTAGGACAGATGCCTGTGGAAATGCCCCCAGAACAGCTGGCCCTTTGCTTGCACGAAGCAGCACCCGGGAGAGTAAAGGAGCAGGGTGGCCTTTCCAAGGGCGTTTGTGCTCCCCCTGCGCCCCTGCACCCCGGGAAGGAGGGCTGCCAGCAGCCTCTGCCCTGCAGGGTGCTGCTTTGGGATGGGGTGGTCTGTTCCAGGTCCTGTAACGCTGCGAGTAGAGCTGAATGCTGCTTTTGTTTTGGGTGGTTTGCTGGTTTCTGAGGCAACTGTATCTACAGAGGGAGGAGAGCCAGGAGATGGCTCATCCCATCCCATCCTGCAGGACTCAGTTGGGGATGCACTGACCCTCACAGCCCGCTGTGCTGGCGTGTGAGCACGGGTGCTGTAGGCGAAGGCTGCCCCACCAGCTCTCCTGCCCTTCCTACGAGCTCTTCTTGGAGGGGGCTTCGGTGCTACTAATTTAAATCTTTTGACATCCTGGTGAGAAAAATCAGAGCTGTGGTCTCCAGTTCACTTGTCTGGAGCCAGCAAAGGTGCAGACCTGGAAGGGGCCTGGAGAGGAGCGATGTGCTTTTCCCAGTCCTTCCAGGTGTTGCTGCCAAGGTCCTGCTGGCTCTTAGCAGGGTCCCGTAGCCGGGGTGCAGCCCTGGGCGTGGTGAGCATGATCCTCTCTGTGTCCCCCATCATATGACACCACATGCCCTCTTCAGCTGAGTCTGGAGGAGCGTGGTGGGGCAGTGGGTTTTGGGGCAGAGCTGGAGGAATCCCATACAGAGCTGCTCCGCTCCTCTCCTCCCTTTTTCACGCAGCGTGGCACAAGCCTTGGTCAGGGCCAAGCAGACGCAGCTGCAGGTACAGGGGCAGCCCGTGCGGTGGCCGGCTGCCCGACTCAGGGGTCTAGAGCCGGTCCTGGCAGCCTGTGAGTGACAAACTGCGGAATGGGCTGAAAGGGGCTGTCACCGAGCCAAGGAGAGCTGTGCCACTGCTGCTTGCGTGTCCGCTGGGGCTGCTGCCACCCTCTCGGCACAGCCCAAACTCCAGCCCCGCGGGGCTGCCTCCCACTCTCCGCTCCAGATGCAAACCCAGACTCCATCCATTAAGTGGCTGTGGGCTTGCACCAGTGTCTCCTGGTGCCCCAGCCCCTTCCCAGCGAGCCATCACCTGCCAGTGTTGGCTCTGGGACTTGTGTCCTCTGCCCTCTCCTCCCTGGGGATGGCTGCTTTTGCACGGGGTGAGCACTAGTGGAGCTGGGGCTCCTCTCTTCGAGGGAAGGTGGGTACGTCCGCTCTCGGGCAGCGCTACCCCGCAGCCCGCCTTCCTTGCTGGCTCACCCAGGAGCGAGTTGCCTTTTCACCCTCTCCCTTTTCTCTCCTGCAGGCACGTACCAGGGCCAGTTTACCAACGGCATGCGTCACGGCTACGGGGTGCGGCAGAGCGTGCCCTACGGCATGGCCTCTGTGGTCCGCTCCCCGCTGCGCACCTCCCTCTCCTCCCTGCGGAGCGAGCACAGCAATGGCACCCTGCCCCAGCAGGACTCCCCTGCCGCCAACCCCGAGAGCCTGCCCCTCTCGCCCACCATCACCCGCGGGGGCTTCGCCCTCAGCCTCTACGCGGAGGCGGAGGCCGGCAAGCCCAAGAAGGGGGGGCTCTTCCGCAGGGGCTCCTTGCTGGGGAAGCTGAAGAAGTCCGAGTCCAAGTCATCCCTGGCCAGCCAGAAGAGCCGCGTCAGCTTCCTCAAGAGCGAGAGCGGAATCAGCTCGGCCGCCAGCGACGCCACCTCCACCGTCAGCCTGGGTGAGGGTGCCGAGGGCGAGGAGTACCCTCCCTTTGAGTCCGACATCGATGCCACCACCACGGAGACCTACATGGGCGAGTGGAAGAACGACAAGCGCGCCGGCTTCGGCGTCAGCGAGCGCTCCAGCGGGCTGAAGTACGAGGGCGAGTGGCTGGACAACCTGCGGCACGGCTACGGCTGCACCACGCTGCCTGACGGCAAGAAGGAGGAGGGCAAGTACCGCCACAACGTCCTCGTCAAGGGCATGAAGAAGCGTGTGATACCCCTCAAGAGCGCCAAGATCCGGCAGAAGGTGGACAGGAGCGTGGAGGGGGCTCAGAGGGCCGCGGCCATCGCCCGGCAGAAGTCGGAGATCGCGGCATCCAGGTAGGCGCCCGGGGCTGCAACACGCAGGTCCCCATGGTGGTGGTGGTCCCCATCCCACGTGTCCCTCTGGAGCCGTGCTGCGTGCCTCCTCGCTGCGCGCCGGCGGTGAGGTCAAACGTGGCTCCCTGCAACTTCTGTTTAATTCTTTGTACTAAATGTTGGGAGAGCGGGGCCAAGGGTCCTCGTGGCAGCCCAAGGGTGTTCAGGACCTGTCCTCCCTCTCGCCTCCTCTCCTGTCCCCCTGCAGCCCTGCTCCAGGAGGGAGCTGCTGGACAGCAGGGCCTGGCATTGGCCCCAGTGCTCAGCAGGATGGGGAGCGGGAGCCACTGGGATGGGGAGCACCCTGGTGCCATGCCAGGCCACCGGAGCCGCTGGGTGTCATTGACGGGGCAGGATGAGAAGTAGCGTGGTTTGGCTATGGTAAATCCAGCAGGCTCGTGAGCAGCCAGCAGGACATGTCCCAGATGAATCGGGTCTGCAGCAGAGCATGGCTTGGCCCTGGAGACCCCAGTGTGGCTCTGTGGGGAGTTTATGGGATGCATTAGGGTTGTCGCTGAATTTTAGCAGCTTGGTGTGATGGGCTCTCTGGGAAGAACACTGCTCTGCTGGGATGCTGCGGAGCAGGAGGGAGGACCTACAGTGGATGCCAAACCGAGGAGGGGGCTGCCTCGGGGAGCCGTGTCTCCCCCCAGGACCCAGCTGCCCTCAGCCAGGTTTTGAGTGAGTGTTTCTGCCACGAAGGGAGGTGGTGGCCAGGGCGGTTGGCTGAGCCCACGGTGGGTGGCTGAGCCCAGTCCCACAGCACGCAGCCGCATCCCGTAGCCTGCAACGCTTTAGGATGCTGGGAAAGGAGGAACCGGGGAGGGCTCAGCTGGGTTTGTCCCCTTTGTCCCCCCAGCTTGTCCTGGCCAGACCCTGGGGGTGGGAAGGGGGCTGCAGCAGCCAGCAGTGGACGAGCGGCAGCGTGGCAGGGATGCGCCTGCAGGGGCGTGCGAGGGAGGAGCGTGCGAGGGGCTGTGGTGAGTGCGTGGCAGTCTCTCATTGCACTGGTGTCCCTTGTGCGGTGTCCCAGCCGTGTTGCCACTACACGCCCGGTATGTTGGGACCAGGCAGGTGGGCTCCGCTCAGAATTAGCTGCGATAGAAATTAGAAGGAAAGGAAAGTGCTAATTGCTCCATCGTCCCTCCTGGGATGGAGGAGGGAGGAGATAAAAGAGGGGTGCCGGGGTTTGCCTGGGAAGGGCAGGGGAAAACTTCCTTCTCCTGCTTGCGTCCCTGCCTGCGTCCGAGCTGTGCCGGCAGCGCGCTTCTCCTCCCACAGCATTCCAGCCCGTCTCGGAGCCAGCCTGGCAGAGACCAGAGATCAACAGGCAGGTTCGGAGCCTTCGCTCCTCTGCCCCTTTTCCTCGGGGGAACGTGGTTATGAAAGACTTCGAGGTTTCACCTCGCCTCTCCATCGAAACCTCGCCCTGCGCAGGCTTTGCTTAGCTGCTGGGCAGTGGCCGGGACTCCAGGGCTGTCCTGCCTTGCTCCTTTTTAGTGCTGTTTAATTATCAAAGTTACTTCATTACCAAGTAGCGATGGGAAATAATAGCGGCATGGAGGGTGCCTGTTCCCAAACCCCGTCCCTCCCCTCTGAGAAACCCTGGCTCTACGCTCCCGGCGGCTCTTTCTGCTCCAAAGTTTTGCGGGGAGCGTGATTGTTTTTTTTAGCAAAACCCAGTTGCCTCAGAGACCGGTGGAGAGAAGCCAGCGGGATTGCAAGTGAAACGCCGTGCAGGGCCAGCTAGGATAAAAATAACAGGCTGGGGCGGCATGGGGCCTGCCAGATCCTCCTGGCAGGGTAGGCTCAGCCCGACACCGGCTTCGCCATGCCCAGGAAAAGTGCGCGGCCGTGGTGCTACGTGCCCGTAAATAAGGAGGCTGGAGCTGCAAGAGCTGCTTCCCGAGAGCTTGGCCGGTTTACGCAAGCCTCTTTTTGTTATACATTATTTACACTTTGGATCAAAAGCGGCTCTGCAGTGTTTTCCATCAGGGGCTGGAATGCGCCCACTGCCCTGGCGGGGGACTGCATCCCTCCCAGTCCGGCTGGGGAATAATTTCCTATTAAGGAAACCTCGGAGCTGGAGGAAATAAGACGTTAGAGCCGTTTTCCTCCAGGGAGTCCTCCCCTAGCAGACCCTGTGATAGTGGGGCTGTCGGTAGGGGAGAACGCTGCTTTCCCCAGCCGTGCGATGCTCCCACTCCCGCTCCTGCGGCTGAGCTGGACCCGCTGCAAGAGGAGAATTCGGGCTTCTCCGTCCTGGACACTATAACTCACCGTTTCCAGCAGTGTTTATTCCTGGTGTGTGTTGCTCTGGACAGAGCTCTCTCTCTACCTGCTGCCTTTTGAACATCTGACTCGTGCTCTCCTCCCTCCTCCGCTCAGCTCAGCTTTGGGGTTGAGAGTAAATATAGATAATTTTGCCCCGAGAGGGTCCTTAAGTTAAACCCCAGCTCTGCCACCGACTTTCGCTTTGGCCTTGAACCTTGCCTCAGTTTCCACACCCAGGACAGAGAGGAATTGCAGACAGATTGTGAAAATCAATTATTATGGTTTATAAAAGGGCTGTGCTATCATTAGCGTTGCCCTAGCGTGTAACTGCACGGTGGAGTTTTCCAGATGGAGCATTTATATTTCTCCTGGGATGGCAGCATGTACCTTACCCAAAGAAATGCCTTTGAGGCTACACGAATCCTTTTTTGGGGGAAGATGTGACATATCTGTATGTGAGATTATTGCTAGGAACTAATTAGCAGGGCACAGCAGCCGGGCTGTGCAGACACCCGACTACGTCCACATACCTGTGCTGTTGTATATGGATGTTTGAGTTTCATCGCTTCTGGCACTTGGGGGAGCCCCTTGCAGGGCTAAACTATGGTGATATCCAGCCTTCTGCTGTCTGGGGGTGAAGCATCAGGAGAAGACCAGATTTCGCTCTTTTGCACCATAAAAGGCTCTTTAAAGCACAGAAATCCCGAGGCAAACCAGCCCAAGCGCTGGAAGCTGCCTGGGCCAGTTGCACCGCAGGAATCCCAAGCATGTGCCCGAGCTCTGGGGGCACGCGGGCAGGCAGCTACCGGCAGCGCGGCAGTGCCGATGGGTGCCCTGCCTGTGGTCTGCCTGCGGAGACGGGCAGGAGAGCGGTGACGGTCGCGGAGGATGGCCAGCCACAGTCAGCAAACCTTCCTCGTCCCACGCTCTGCTCCGAGGGCGTCCGAGGCCCCAGGCTGCTTTGCAGCTCCTGCCCTGCCTGCCTGCTGGGTTTGGGTGTTCCAGCCAGCGCCGTGGGCAGCGCCAGCTCTTGCCTGCCCTGCTGCCTGTCCTGCCCGAGCAGCGCTGCCCTGGCCTCCTCCTCGGCTCCCTCCCGAATCCTCCCGGGTCGGCGATCCAGCTGCTTTCCCCGTTGTGCAAGCGGCTGAGGACAGAGCTGACATTGCCTCGCCACCTGCTGAGGGAACAGTGGGGGTTTTTAAATTCTTTTTTCATTATTTTAGTAAAAATGGTTTGCCATGGGGCCACGCTGCCCTGAACAGCCCACCCCAGCTCAGGCCCTGGGCAAAGCCCCTGGGTGCTGCCCAGACGTCGGGCAGAACCCCGGGGCGTGTCTGTCGGCAGCGCTGGGGATCAGCTAATGGGATGGAGCTAATGGAAGTTAAAGGATGGTGAATCCTCGCCCAGGCTGCTGTCACTCAGGAGAAATGTCATCTCCATGGGGCCACGCTGCCCTGAACAGCCCACCCCAGCTCAGGCCCTGGGCAAAGCCCCTGGGTGCTGCCCAGACGTCGGGCAGAACCCCGGGGCGTGTCTGTCGGCAGCGCTGGGGATCAGCTAATGGGATGGAGCTAATGGAAGTTAAAGGATGGTGAATCCTCGCCCAGGCTGCTGTCACTCAGGAGAAATGTCATCTTGGTGAGCTGCCTCAGCGGCAGCCGGTGGAGATGGGTTTAATCCTGCCCAGGGGTAACCACAGGCAGACATGGGGGTTAACACGCGCCGTATGATGTCCGTTAGCAGCGCCCTGCACTGCCGGTGCCCTGGGACTTCCCAAGGGATTCCCATCGGAGCTGGAACACAGCTGTTCCCGCAATGCTAGGTAAAGGCACCCGCCGCGTCCCTCCAGCCTTCCTTTTCCCACCCTCTGCCGCGTCCAAGGGCTCCTTTGAAAAAAATGTTGGAGCGGATGGGAAAGGCGGTGAGGTCCTGGGATCACAGCTGGGATGTCGTCTCCCCGGTGCTTAAGTAGAGAAGCGGGCTCGAGGACAGCCAGCAGGTCTGTCCCCCGCCAGCCCCTGCGAGGAGGGGACAGCCGCCATCAAGCCACGAGCGAGCGAGTTAAAAGCGATTCCGAGCTGTGTAATGGCTGCCCTGGTGTTTTCTGGGCACGTGGGCTGGTGCCGAACAGGGTGCTCTGCGCCCCTGGGTGCTTGGGGAGCAGCAGCCCCTGGGGTGCTGCCTGTGCAGTACGTGCTCAGCTGACACGTGGGGACAGCGGTCCCGCTGAAGGCAGGCAGAAAGAGATTGGAAGCGGGCAGCTTTCACCTCTTTAGAATAAAATAAAATTGAGTTAAATAAAAAGCAAGAGGAAGGGCAGGACTGGCTGCAGGGGGAAACTTTGGTTTTTTGAAAGCTGTGTGCTCAGTAGCCAGGCAGCTCGTACAGGGGATTTCCTTCTCACTGGCACTTTTGGGGGACAAAATGAGTGTAAATACTGCAAATCCCACCTCCGTCCTACTGCACCAGTGTCTGCTGTGGTCTGCCTCTGCATGGGGTTGTGCTTCCCAGTGACTTGGACCGAAATCAATGGAAGGACTTGGCCGCGCGTCCCACAAGGCACGGGTCTGGCCACACTGAGATCGTCTGACGGGCCTATGTCCCGTTAGCAAAACCTCAGATGTATCTGCCAGATGCCACGGGATCAATAGGAAAGCAAGGCGCAAGAGCCAATAATGTCTGCTGTG